CGTGAGAGTCCAGCAACATAACCATTATGCCATCTGCTGGTCCCCATCATCAGACTTTTTTTTTTATAAAAAGTTTATTTTTTCTGAGAGGGAAACAGAGAGACAGACGCTCTGCCAGGGTCTCTGTGCTGTGGTCCACTCCCAGTCTCAGCCGATCAAGGCCCCCAGCACGTTCTCGGAATCCCGGGACTCGCTGTGCCACGCGGAGCAGGGGTGGGGGAGCCCTCACCTCTTTAATGTCACCTTCTCTGAGAGACCTCCCCTGAATATGCCACTTAAAATAGAAGCTGAGGGCCAGCAGGTGGTGTGGTGGTTAAGGTCCTGGACTCCCATGTGGCCCACCATGGTTCAAGTCCCAGACCTGGTGACTTGCTTTCTCACTTTCCCATTCTCTTTCTCTAGTCAAGTTAAAAAATAATGATGGGACCAGCAGTTGGCATAATGGCTATGTTGCTGGACTCCCATGTAGTCGACCACAGTTCGAGTCCCAGACCCAGTGGCTTAAACTCATGCCAGACGCGTGTGCATGCGTGACCAAGATCCTGAGAGGAGAATGGAGGAGAAAGGATTGTGGCATGGCCATCACCTTGGGGGGTGATTTTTCGCTTTCTGTCTCTCTGTATCTGTCTTTCTGGAGAGCGTACATGCCCTATAGAAAAAAACCTCTCCAAAAAAAGAAAAAAAAAAAGAACATCAGAAAGTGTCTAAAAAAAAAAAAGAACCCAAGACCCCCTCTTCACTCCATAAGTACTTGCCACCACCTGCCAGACTTTGAACCTCCCCTCCCTTATGTTAGCTCCTCCAGAGCAGGGATCGGTCGGAATGTTTCTAAAATAGCTTTTTATTCTGGAAAATTTCAAGCATTCATGCCCCGCAGTAGACAGAGTGACAGAACGGCCCCTGTGGATTCATGGCTGGCAGGGGCCAGCTCCTGGCCAATCTGTCATCTCTCCCCCGCCCCCCACCGGCTGCTTTAAAGGTCCCCGACATCCTGTCATGTCAAATGGCAACACTTCAGTGTATCTCTGAAAGACCAGGAATCCTTTTTAAACAAACAACCAACGAGGTCGTTGTCTTACCTACTAGCACCAGTTAGCAGCCGATGCTCAGCCCCCTGGCCGGCTTAAGACGCTCTCACGTCGAGCTCTGCGCGTCTCCTCTACTGTGTCCCAGCGTTTTCTTTTTCTTTTTTTTTTAAATTATTTTATTCACTT